GGATCATATACACACATACACACACTAGATCACTATATACACTCTGAATCCATTATATACGCACGCTCACTAGATCTCCTATACATAGTCTGGGTCCTTCAAACACACATAAGACTCATATATATATATATATATATATATACATACACACACACACTCTGGATCCCCTATATGCACACTAGATTCCTTGTAAGCAAACACATACTACATTCCCTGAACACACACTCTCTACAAACACTACATCACCTATACACACACACACACACACACACTATAGCCTATATGCACACACTTGCTACATCCCCTATACACACATTCTCTACAGCCCCTAGCAACATATGCATTACATTACACCACAAACACAACACGACTAAAACCGACCTTATTACACAATACCACACCACGACCAGCTCACTCTGCACACACGCAATACCACAAGCAGGCTCCAAACACATGCACAATACTCTTTCCTGGCCCTTTTGTCTCCTGGTATCCATTTATAGAGACACCAGAGACAAGTTGCAAGGAAACACAGTGCAAGCATGTTATTAAATTTGCTTGCACTGTGCAGAACAAATATAGGGCTTTTTTCTCATGCTAGAGCTCTTCAGCAGAGCTCTGCGCATGGTCTGCCCTGGAAGAGCATTGAACCAACATGCTCACTTTGAGAGGGGGCGTGTTTGTCATGAGTGATGACAAAACACAGCCTCTCTGCCCCGCCCCCTTCTTAGTGGGCCGCTGTGATAAAAAAATGCCCGGGCCGAATTTTTTTCCCAGTCCGGCCCTGAGTGTGTGTGTATGTCTGTTAGTGTGTGCCTGTTAGTGTGTGTCTGTTAGTGTGTGTCTGTTAGTGTGCGTGTGCCTGTTAGTGTGTGTGTGCCTGTTAGTGTGTGTCTGTTAGTGTGTATGTCAGTGTGTGTGTGTTAGTGATTGTGAGTGTGTCTGTTAGTGTGTATGTGTGTCTGTTAGTGTGTGTGTCTGTGTGTGTTAGTGATTGTGAGTGTGTCTGTTAGTGTGTATGTGTGTTTTAGTGTGTTTGTCTGTTAGTGTGTGTGTGTGTCTGTTAGTGTGTGTCTGTTAGTGAGTGAGTGTGTGTCTGTTGGTGTGTGTGTGTGTCTGACTGTGTGTGTGTTTCTGTTAGTGTGAGTGTGTTTGCCTGTGAGTGTGTGTGTCTGACTGTGTGTGTTTCTTAGTGTGAGTGTGTTTGCCTGTGAGTGTTTGTGTCTGTTAGCGAGTGTATGTGTGTGTCTGCTAGTGAGTGAGTTTGTGTCTGTGTTTTTCTGTTAGTGAGTGTGAGTGTGTCTGTTAGTGTGTGTGTTTCTGTTAGCGTGTGTGTGTGTGTGTGTATTTAGAAGGCGGCGCGGGGGGAAGGGTTGGGTGGGTGTGGCGCACGGGGGGAGAGAGGGGCGCCTGAGTTTTGTCCTGCCTAGGGTAGCACAAAACCAGGATACACCACTGAGTATGAGTGTTTGTATGTATATGAGTGTGAGTTTGTGTATGTGTATGTATGAATGTGTGTTTGTCAGGGTGTGCATCTGTGTGTGTGTGCACGCACACATCTGTGTATGTGCATCTGTTTGTCAGGGTATGTGTATCTGTGTCATGGTGTGGGCATGTATCAATGTTTGTGTGTGTCAATTGTGTGTATTTGTCAGTGTCTACCTATATGTATGTATGTGTCAATGTCTACCTATATGTGTGTATGTGTCAATGTCTATATGAATTTGTGTGTATGTGTCTGTGTATTTATATGCATCTCTGTGTTAATGTGCATGAATATCTGTGTAGGTATGTATGTATGTATGTGCATACATCCAAGCAGTCAAACATCAGCACAACATACAAGCACACTTCTGCAATCTAACACAAATATTACATACAAACACACCCCTGCAGTCAAAAAAAAATAAAATACAAGCACACCCCTTCACTCAAACACTGTAACGTTCACTAGAGAACCCTATATGCAGACAGGACAGAGTAGAGAGAATTGCAATACCGATCCTTAGAATGGTCGGGTTATGCAAAAAGGATAGTCAAAACACGATTCAAGGTCAAGGGAAACAGAGAGACAGAATAATGAGAGAAAAAGCCAAATACCAGTAACCAGGAAATCCAAATAACAAGTGCACCGCTCAATGGTAAACCAAAGACCACAACAGGACATTGAGGCAAGGGAGAGGTGTGTCTGATTGGCTAATCTCCAATCAGTGTTAACTACAACATGTGGGAGGAGTTTCTTCCCTTCCTTGTGTTCTCTGAGGTCATCACTGTGTGCCGGGTCACATGACCGGATGCAGTACACATATAAGGAAGCTGCTCTGGAGCGTGCAGCGTCAGACACACTGCCAGTCTGGAGACAGGGACCAGATGACGCCGCTCACTGTTAAGGGGGTAAGCAAGGTCACCGCGAACAGCGCGGTGGCAGGGAACCTGACAAACACAAATACTTCACTTGAATATGTGGCAAAGTAACCTCGACACTGGTTTTTGGAGGGTCCTGTTTGCCAGCCTCCTACCCTGGGACTATGGGCCCTGTAATAACCCATGTTCAAAAGTACTGTTTCTGCCCATTGGACTTTTAACTGGAACAGATTCAAACATTTGGCGGCGGCCATCTTAAATTGTCCAGCAGTGTTTTATCGTTGAGTGTAGGGAACTGTTTTGGTTATGGGACCATGTGCATGGTAGAGCAAAAATAAGACTTCCAGGAAATTCCTGAACCCCTGAACCGATCTGGGTGATTTTTGATTACGTTGTTCACCCAGATCGGGGCTATCAGGGGATGTGTTGTATTTTGGGGGGGGGGGTATTTTGGGGGTTTGTAGAAATGTATGTTTTTTCTGCTTAGCGTTAATTGAGTTAGTCCATTGTCTCCGTTAATTATATCACAGGCAGAGGGGAGGGATTGTGTACACTGTATGGGAGTGACTGAATGTAAAACTATGTTTTTATTGGCTTGTTGTTCCTGTGTCCCTGTGCCCCACAAGGTCCACCTGGGGGGTAACCTTGTGGGGAAAACTGTATAAAAGACCAAGCTGTTCAATAAACCCTCAGATCTGTTTTACCCTCAACATAGAGCCTCGTCTCATGTGTGGGGGAAAGGCTGCATCTACAAGGGGGATTGCTATAATCCCTAGGGATTATAATCACTAAACTCTTTTAAAAGCTTGTTCCTGCTACTCTCTCTTGGAGGAGAGGTTCACCCACTGATACCTGGAGCTTTGTCATAGGTCAGGGGGGGTAGAGAATGGCGAGTTCCCAGCCAAGCTCTAACGCTGGATGTGGGGACTGCGGTGCTGATGGTGTCTAGTGGAGTGCTTGGAGTCCAAGGTGAGCACTAGAAGCATCCGTTGGCAGAGGTACCCAACCGGGGTACAGGAAGCTCCGTTACAAAATGTACATCCACATTTAAAAGTGAACATTACATTTAGACACACTCCAGCAATCAAACACAAACATCACATACAAACACACCCCTGTATTAAAACACAATAAATGTATACAAGCACACCTTCAAACACCAACACTGTATATCTCACTACAGCGCCAGTAAATGCGACAGCACTGTGCAGATATACAACCTAGAAATTTTGACTTGGAGTACTTGGAAAAATACTGAAATATTAAGGGCTCCTTGAATAGAGTTGAGCGAACCCGGACTGTAAAGTTCTGGTTCATACCGAACATTAAGTTTTTTGGACCTTGGACCTGAACACGGACATATCACTGTATGTTCGGGTTGGAGTTCGGTGTTTGACGATTTAATGGCGTGTTTTGAAAGGCTGCGAGGCAGCCAATCAACAAGCGTTTGACTCGTGTGCCCTTAGAAGCCATCACAGCCATGCCTACTAATGGCATGGCTGTGATTGGCCAGTGCAGAATGTGACCCAGGGTCTATATATAAGCTGGAGTCGCACAGCGCCGCACGCACATGAGTTCTTATTAGTGTAGGGAGAGGATGCTGCCGCTTTCAGGGACAGATTAGGAAAGAATTCTGCAAACTAGTACATTAGTGGGGTGCACTTCATATCTGAGAATCAAATAAAAGAGTCAAATACTGCTGTCACAATTTTTTGGGTGCTTAAAAGTACATTAGTGGGGTGCACTTCATATCTGAGAGTCAAATACTGCTGTCACATTGCAGTTTTTGTTGGGGATAAAATCAGCCCGGGCCCTTTGTGGATGATGGATATTTGCCAACTCATACAGAGCTCTGGAAATTGGAAATGAATAGCAGAGACCAATTCATATTGTATTCATACGTCAGTTATATTTATACCCCATTTTCATAGCAGGATGGGAGGGGGGAAAATGAGCATATGGGCGTGACAATGACATTGTTTTTCACAAGTTATAAACAGCTGTTTCTTATTAGAATTCTACGTTATATAACACATGTATATTTGATCAAAACAGGATATTTACAAATACCTTAATCTTGGACAATTAACAAGAACATTTGGAAATCAGTATGGTCATTCTCGTAAATGATATTAGATAAATTCTTCCCAGAATAGAAGATACAATTCCAAATTTATTCTTGGTTCAAATTAACCCTGGTTCAAATTGGACTAGTATTCAATAATAAATCAGTTATTTAATAGATTATTACGCTGCCATTTTCATCTGTATCAATACTAAGACAAACTTATTCAAATATAATTTAAAATAACACAGCAAAATAACCATTAACATACATGACAATTAAACTGCACACTTTAAAATGAGTACCCAAAACACACATTTATCAAAATCACCATTTACACAGAATAAACTTCTAACAGCTGTATTCAGAACATATTATTGTAAGGTATACCAATTTTAGTTTGTATCAGATTTATTTAAGAGTTCTGGTACCAAAGGGTTTATTTTTTCTTTTTAAAGTAGGGATCCCGTAAGGCCATATAACGCGTTTGACTTAAACATTTGTATAACACTTGCATTAACCAGTTGCAACATATGAAACCTGTCAATGGAATTTCTCTCTTATACGCTTCTAGAACATTTGGACCAGATTACACAGACATGGTATCACCTGCATTTGTCAGAACTCTCAAAGACTCAAAATATTTATACTACTCCATGTTAAAGGCATGGCAAAATTTTGACCGGTCAGTTTGAGTTTCCAAAAGTCATATCAACACAGGTTAAAACCTTTGTCCATGGTTTTCTGATCCTATATTTCATGAGCAAAATTTCAAACCCACTTCTTCACAGTTTGGGTCACAAGCAATAAAATCTCAGCAACCCCATACAACAATTTACAGAATACATACAATTTAAAGCACATACAACATGTGACGTACTGGAATACTACAAGTTAGCTTACAGCACAAAATGAAGCATGTGTTGGAACGCTGAAAATATCAATTTTGCTCTCTTCTAAATTTACAACATAAATTCTCTGCAACAAACACACAGGGCAGAAAGAATGTGGTGTTTGACGTTTTGAATGAAGTGACTTTTTGTCCCAATATGAAAATAAAGGGCTCATCATATAAACAATCATACATCCCACTCTCATGAAAAAGTGTAGTGGGCTTATAGTACTTTTGTCAAAGTATAAAAATAAGGGCTCATTATACAAACAAACATACATGCAGAGAAATCATGTTAGTTCTAGAATTTGTAGCCCCCCTTAAATAACCTCTAATTTTTTTTTCTTCATCACCTTTTCATGTACTTTTGACATCCCCTCAATTAAGACTTTATGCTTAAAATCAGCGTTGCACATCATAAAATAGCACATAAATTAGCAAGCCGGAGTAATGCCAAACATCCATCATACCTTTTAACCCCCTTTTTTTTTTTTTCTCTAAACCATTTTAGTCTGCAAAATTTACATCTACGTTAAATAAATACCACAGTCCACCAAAGACTGGAAATCTGTTTTACAACCTACCAAAGGCAACCTCTACCAAAGAGGGATCTAGGGACGTCTCCCATATGTAAATGTACATCACAGTACATCACAGCCTACCAAAGGCTTCTTTTTAACACCTGGACAAAGGTGAACCTCTTACCAAAGAGGAAATGTGCACATAACTACTACTGCCTACCAAAGGCAATCCTCCAACCCGTGGAGTAATAGAAGTCTACCTAAGACTTAACAAAATACCATGTCTACCAAAGACATTATCCTGTGAAAATCCCCTTTAAAACTTAAATAGTGAAAAACCCCAGTAAAACAATAAATGCAATGTGTGAGAGGATGGCAGAAGCAGGCAAAGGTCCCCAACCCCTTAAGGACACACGACAGAAATACTCCGTCATGATCCCCTTTAATTCCAGAAGAAGTGCCCCCAAGGGGCTAAAGATCCTCTTACCTGTAACCTGCGTTCCCAATTGCACCCAAACTTCTGACACCAGTTTGTTGGGGATAAAATCAGCCCGGGCCCTTTGTGGATGATGGATATTTGCCAACTCATACAGAGCTCTGGAAATTGGAAATGAATAGCAGAGACCAATTCAAATTGTATTCATACGTCAGTTATATTTATACCCCATTTTCATAGCAGGATGGGAGGGGGGAAAATGAGCATATGGGCGTGACAATTACATTGTTTTTCACAAGTTATAAACAGCTGTTTCTTATTAGAATTCTACGTTATATAACACATGTATATTTGATCAAAACAGGATATTTACAAATACCTTAATCTTGGACAATTAACAAAAAGATTTGGAAATCAGTATGGTCATTCTCATAAATGATATTAGATAAATTCTTCCCAGAATCGAAGATACAATTCCAAATGTATTCTTGGTTCAAATTAACCCTTTTATGAATAGCTAGGATATTCGTATGGATATTCGTATCCTACAGTTTTAAAACTTAAAATTTTTTGGGTGCTAAAAAGTACATTAGTGGGGTGCACTTCATATCTGAGAGTCAAATAGAAGCATCAAATACTGCGGTTACAGCACACTTGTAAAAATTCTAATTGTTTTGGTGCTAAACTGCTAAATAGTAAATTTGGGGCGTGCTGTTCAAATCTGAGAGTCAAATAGAAGCGTCAAACAGTGCGGTTACAGCGCACTTGTAAAAATTCTAATTGTTTTGGTGCTAAACTGCTAAATAGTAAATTTGGGGCATGCTCTTCGTATCTGAGAGTCAAATAGAAGCGTCAAATAGTGCGGTTACAGCGCAATTGTAAACATTCTTATTTTCTGGGTGCTAATCTGCTAAAAAGTAAATTTGGGGCATGCTCTTCATATCTGAGAGTCAAAAAGAAGCGTCAAATACTGTGGTTACAGCGCAGTTGTAAAAATTATAATTGTTTTGGTGCTAAACTGCTAAATAGTAAATTTGGGGTGTGCTCTTCATATCTGAGAGTCAAATAGAAGCGTCAAATAGTGCGGTTACAGTGCAATTGTAAACATTCTTATTTTCTGGGTGCTAATCTGCTAAATAGTACATTTGGGCCCTGCACTTCATATCTGAGAGTCAAATAGAAGCGTCAAATACTGCAGTTACAGCGCAATTGTAAAGATTCTTATTTTCTGGGTGCTAATCTGCTAAATAGTAAATTTGGGCCCTGCACTTCATATCTGAGAGTCAAATAGAAGCGTCAAAAACTGCGGTTACAGCGCATTTGTAAAAATTCTAATTGTTTTGGTGCTAAACTGCTAAATAGTAAATTTGGGGTGTGCTCTTCATATCTGAGAGTCAAATAGAAGCGTCAAATAGTGCGGTTACAGTGCAATTGTAAACATTCTTATTTTCTGGGTGCTAATCTGCTAAATAGTACATTTGGGCCCTGCACTTCATATCTGAGAGTCAAATAGAAGCGTCAAATACTGCAGTTACAGCGCAATTGTAAAGATTCTTATTTTCTGGGTGCTAATCTGCTAAATAGTAAATTTGGGCCCTGCACTTCATATCTGAGAGTCAAATAGAAGCGTCAAAAACTGCGGTTACAGCGCATTTGTAAAAATTCTAATTGTTTTGGTGCTAAACTGCTAAATAGTAAATTTCGGTTTGTGCTCTTCATATCTGAGAGTCAAATAGAAGCGTTAAATAGTGCGGTTACAGTGCAATTGTAAGCACCTCAAAAACCAAGAAAGGTCTCAGGCTCTTCCTGCTTCCTCTTCTGCTGCTGTCTCGGCCTTTTCCTCCACCTCTGGAGTCAGAGTGGCACCTGCATCTCCACACTGTCCCATGGAAGCGTTCAGCTGTCCATCTCCCAAACACTGGAGAGAAAGAGGAAGTACCCCCATTAGCCACCCGCGATCCCTGGCCCTGAATGCCAGCATTTCAAAATTCATGGCCTTTGAAATGTTGTCATTCCGTCTGGTGGAGACGGACAGCTTTAAAAACCTGATGGCGGTGGCTGTACCACAGTACGTGGTTCCCAGCCAGCTTTTCCAGGTGAGCCATCCCTTTCCTGCACAACCAATTGACGGACAAAATCAGGTGTGCACTGCACAACTCCATCTGTGGCAAGGCCCTCATAACCACAGATACGTGGACCAGTAAGCACGGGCAGGGACGCTATATCTCCCTAACTGCACACTGGGCAAATGTAGTGGCGGCTGGGCCTGAGGCGGATAGCAGTTTGGCGCATGTCCTTCCGCCACTGAGGATTGCAGGGCATTTCTCTTTGCCTCCTGTTGCCTCCTCCTCCTACTCCACTTTCTCCTCCTCTACCACCACCTCATCCAGGCAGCATAACACCTACACCACCAACTTCAGCACAGCCAGGGGAAACGACAGCAGGCTGTTTTAAAACTCATATGTTTGGGGGGAAAATCCCACACCGCGCAGGAGCTGTGGACGGGCATGGAACAACAGACCGATGAGTGGTTGTTGCCACGGAGCCTCAAGCCCAGCCGGGTGGTGTGCGATAATGGGCGAAATCTCGTAGCAGCTCTGGGCCTAGCCGATGTGCCGCACACCCCTTGCCTGGCACATGTGCTGAATTTGGTGGTGCAAAAATTCCTGAAAAACTACCCAGATATATCAGAGCAAAAAGTGCGGGCCGTCTGTGCGCGCTTTCGACGTTCTCACCCTGCTGCTGCTCGCCTGTCTGTGCTGCAGCATAACTTCGGCCTTCCCGCTCACTGCCTCATATGCGACGTGCCCACAAGGTGGAACTCCACCTTGCACATGCTGGAGAGACTGTGCGAGCAGCAGCAGGCGATAGTGGAGTTTCAGATGCAGCATGCACGGGTCAGTCGCTCTGCGGAACAGCACCATTTCACCACCAATAAGTGGGCCTCCATGCGAGACCTGTGTGCCATTTTGCACTGTTTTGAGTACTCCACCAACATGGAATGATGCCATTCTCAGCCTTACTATCCCGCTTCTATGTCTCCTTGATGATGGAAGAGGATGTGGCACAGGAGGAAGAGGGGCCATTTCCACGGTTATCAGGCCAGTCATTCACAAGTGGCTTGGAGGGTGGGTTCCTGCACCAGCATAAGCCAGGTACACAATTGTCCAGAAAGGGCACAGTTCTGGAGGAGGAGGATGATGAGGATGAGGAGGAGGAGGAGGAGGAGGAGGAGGAGGAGGAACTGTGACACAGATGATACACCTCCCACAGAGGACAGCTTGTCCTTGCCTTTGGGCAGCCTTGCACACATGAGCGACTACAGGCGACTACATGCTGCAGTGCATGTGCAACGTCTGCCGAGTTGCCCACATTCTAACTTGTGCTGATTACTGGGTGGCCACCCTGCTGGATCCCCGTTACAAGGACAACGTGCTGTCCTTAATTCCCTCACTGGAGCGTGATCGGAAGATGCGCGACTACCAGCGCACGCTGGTAGACGCGCTGCTGAGGGCATTCCCTACTGATAGCTGGGGCACCGCCTGCAACTCAGAAGGCAGGGTTAGCATGGCCAAAATGTGGAAAAGCTTTGTCAGCATGCCACAACAACCAGCACCACCATCTGATATGGAACGTCTTAGCAGGAGGCAGCATTTCAGTAACATGGTGGAACAGTACGTGTGCACACGCCTACATGTACTGACTGATGGGTCTGCCCCATTTAAGTTCTGGGTCACCAAATTGGGCACATGGCCTGAGCTTGCCCTTTATGCCTTGGAGGTACTGGCCTGCCCTGCAGCCAGTGTATTGTCTGAACTTGCGTTTAGCATGGCAGGGGGCGTTATCAGAGACAAGCGCAGCCGCCTGTCCACAGCCAATGTGGACAAGCTCACGTTTATTAAAATGAACCAGGCATGGATCCCACCAGACTTGTCTGTACCTTGTGCAGAATAGACATTTATACCAGCCTCACCCAGCCATTGTTATACTTAAGTGCACTTATTCTTTGTTTTCTTTTTTTATATGTCCCAATATTTTGGGGGCTACCCCAATAAAAGAAAAACAAACAAACAAATAAAAAACAGTGCTGGCAACCTCCTCCTCCTCCACCGCAGCTTCCACCTACACCGCCACGATGTATACCCAGATATATCAGAGCTGCTGCAGAAAGTGCGGGGTGTCTGTGCGCGCTTTTGGCGTTCTCACCCTGCTGCTGCTCACCTGTCTGCACTGCAGCGTAACGTCACCTTGCACATGCTGGAGAGACTGTGCGAGCAGCAGCAGGCGATAGTAGAGTTTCAGCTGCAGCACGCATAAGTCAGTCGCTCTGCGGAACAGAGTTTTCTTTTTTTATATGTCCCAATATTTTGGGGGCTACCTGGACTTTTTTTCAAAGTTCGGCCGAACCTGCCGGACCCGAACATCTAGGTGTCCGCTCAACTCTATCCTTGAACCTAAAAAGTTTGGGAACCAGTGCTGTAATATAAACACTGTTTTTTTCCTAAAAAGACAGTGTTTACAATAAAAAGCCTTTTTTAAATATATTTTTATTGAGATGTTAGCATAGTACAAACAGAAAACAGTACAAGCGTATATCAGCATATTAATGAAAATTATATACAAGATACAACACGTGCGAGTCTGGTGGACAGATACATCTAATTTTTGTGAAGTTCAAGGATAGTCAATTGAATGCATAGCTAGTGTTAGCTTGAATTATTACAAGGTGAGTAAACAACAAAGTGAAGTAAGAAAAATTACATCACAACCAGTTGATAGCTCCATACATACATGGCTGTGAGCGCCATACAACTTCCTTGCTTACCATGTATGACTGCTCCCTTGGATCTTCCAGGATTAAAAGCGATGTAAGGGTACTAAGTAACCAGGTGCCCACCACCTTCCGGAAGTTGGTGAATCCCATTTGGATACTCCCACCAAATGCTCTAGGTGTCATCCTACTTTGAAAACACTTCCAAAAACACCTCACAAATGCAGTCAAATGATTGTAAAGACTCAGCCAAGGGACTCCTTTTCTGTACAACTGGAGTTGGAAGCTATCTTGAAACAGTAGAGCATATGTTCCAGGGATGGAGAAATTCAGGTAAGATCAAAGCATAGATCGCCACCTTGCTGCTTGTCCCGGGGTGGGGAGGCTCTGTAAATTAGAATATCTATTCCAAAGCAGGGGATTGCTCTCCTTCCCCACTCGGGAAAGGAAAGTAGCTTCAATTGTTGAAACTTAGTGAGGCCTCCAAAGACTCTGGTAAAGCTGTTATGTTACTCTCTATTGGGTAAATGCACATTCAGTACCAAAAAAACTGTACAAAATCTGGGTTTCTGCACTCAGTTTAAAAGGTTAGCTGAGGAGCTTCTCTGACATGTAACCTTCTCAGTCAGCAGTCAAACCCCACCCCCAGTAAATGACCCTGTTTAAATTTATGGTTCCAGTCTGATACTTCCAGGCCAGGTAAAAGACATGAGGAGTCAAGCTCAAACAGCTTATCTGAACTTCATAATCAATCAACATAATAAATAGACTGGAGAAATGGGTCAACATGGTTAGCTCTGGCCTAGCCTTGTATTACATTCTAACAGAACTAACCGAAGTCCCTAACATATCAGAGGTTAATGAAACCGACATAAACTCCTGTCAACTCCTCTAGACAAGTGATTACTTCCACACACCTTGTTACACCATCAGTTAGGGAAGACATCTTAGATGGGAAAGGCATTAACTTGAGGTCCCTACTCATTGCAAGATGTCACTAATACTCTTAGTGCAAGGATGGCTAAAAGATAGATCCTTAATGTAAGAATATTAAATAGTTAACTTGTTTATATGTATTTTATGCTTTTATAAGGTTTATAACATGATTATTGCTGACTGAAGGGATATTGAATACTTAAAGTCAATGTACGACATAATATGCTGACTGTGACAGACTAAGGTATTTCTTCTATAGGATGTAAGACAATGCTAAATTTCAGGATGTCTTGCCCATTCCGATTTTAAGGATATTCTTTTCCAGACGTATGCAAAAGCTTATCTTTCCATTGTCAGAATAACGTAATATAAGGAAGTAATAAATCTTATAGTCTGTACTGTATTTGCATATACCATGGCTAATGTAAGCAAACTATGTATAAAAGCCAGCTCTGGAATACACTCATTTGAGAGTCTTGTAAAGCTGTTGTCCGTGTGTTAGTGCTTACAATGATTCTCCATCAACATTGATTATGGTGACCGAGGGATCGAGAACCGAGGGGATTAGAGTCCATTACAACATTAACCCTTTCAGCTTGGTGTCTAGAAGTGGGATGGATGGATCAGCAAAACCATTGCGGTGAGTAGCCTTTTTGTGTCTTATTGACGCTGATTGTCTATGACCCCCGTTTGGTTCAGTAAGACTGTATCCAGTAGATAGGAAAGGTGTAAGGACTCTAGTTATATTGAGACTATAAGAGGTCTCCGGTTTATTAGACATTTGGTCTAAATATATATATAGGGGTTCTTGGTAACCCAGGTTAGTATCTAAGATAGATACAGGTTTTTGAGACCATAAGAGGTCTCCGGTTTATTATAGGGTTTTGGTAACCCAGGTTAGTATCTAAGATAGATACAGGGTATCTCAGGTAGATACAGGTTTTTGAGACCAGAAGAGGTCTCCGGTTTATTAAGTCTATAGGTGTTCTGAGCAGCACGGTTTGTAGTTCTATAAGTATAACCCAAACTTCTCTTTCTCCCGGTCACCTTTGTTTGTCTTAAGTGTTTTTTGTGGGTGATTGATTGTCTATATTGGGGACACACTTTGGTAAGTTAGTAGTGTCCCCACTCTGAATCAGCAGTATGGGAAATGTGAGTTCAGGTCCTGAGTGACCAATATATGTATGTATATATGTGTATATGTATGTATATATGTGTGTGTATATGTATATGTGTATATATAAGATAGCAGTACTTTTAAACAAATGGAGGTTTTAAAAATACATAGGGATTAAGGAGAGAACGCAGGTAACTTGTTTTTCTTTGGTTTTTACCATATATTGGGGCTGATGTGTACTGTAGTCCTTGCTGCTGCCCAGTAGTGATGGGAGTGAGCGCAGGACTTATCTTTCTGCAAGATAGCAGTACTGTATATTAGAAAAGAAATGACTCATAGGTTGTACCTGATAGACCTACTTAAATCTTTTTACTTTATTCTTTCTGTCGCATAGAAGTATAAGTTTATTACTCTGTTTTATTGTAAGTTATTTCACATGGGAACTGTGTGCCTGGAATGATTGTTGCTTTAAAAATACTATAAGCCCACTACACTTATTATGAGAGTGGGATAGTGTAAATGTGTTGCATTGTTTGCATGATGAGCTCAGTATATTTTATAACTGAGACAAAAAGTCACTTCATTAGTATTTGAAAGTTAATTCCCCATATGGGATTAATTGTATAGAAACACCAATCAGCACATCTTCCCTGCCCTCTGTGTTTGTTGCAAAGGATCCATACTGTAAATATGATTTTTGTTTGAAAATAAGAGAGCAACATTTACATTTTCAGCGGTCCAACACATGCTTTATTTTGCGCTGTAAACTAACCTTTTTATTGCAACAGGTTCCTTTTAAATGATCCAGTGTAATAACTACTGCTTGTGTCTTCTATGTCTCACATTATGTGTTCTTTTAAATTGTGGTATATAGCCTGAATCAGACATCATGGACAAAAGGTTTTTACCTGTATTACAAAGGGCTCTTGGAGACTGACCGGTCTAAAGGTTTGCCATGCCTTTAAAACATGGTATAGTATAAATTTTTTAAGTCTCTGAGAGTTCTGAAAGATTCAGGTGAAACCATGTCTGTTTAATCTGGTCCAGATGTTTGCAAAAAATTTCTGTAAGATTTAAATTGATGCAGCATCATCTCAGATTAGTTAATGGAAGTTTTATACAAATAGTTGAGTTATGAGCGCGCTATATAAATGGATCCTTTCTTTATATACAATACTATAGTAGATTAAAGTAATGAAGTTAATTAAGAAAATATACACATAAGAATCCCTAAAATAAATCTAAACTAAAATTGGTATACTTTCCAATAATATGTTCTGAGTGCAGCTGTTAACTGTTTATTCTGTGTAAATGGTGATTGTGATAATGTGTGAAGTGTGCAGTTTAACTTGAAAGTGGTTTAATTTATATGTTGCTGTATTGTTTTAAATTATATGTGAATCAGTTTGTCACAGTCTAGTGATACTGATAAGAATGACAGCCAAATAACCTAGCAAATAACTGTTTTATTAGTTGTTGAATACTAGCGTTTTGGCCAAGAATAGTTGGAGATTTGGAGGTGTTAGTTTAAGATTGCTTTTATATTGTGTCTATCCGTGTTTCCTAGGAGGGAGACAGAGTGTGTAGTTGTGTGCCCATAAATGTGATTTCTGTATTGGCATATCTGCTGGGTACCCATTATGTGTTTTTACAAAAATATTGTTTTGTGAGATGACGTGTAATATTACATTGGATGCGGAGTATGAGTTATATGGTTTGAAATGAATTGGTGATTATGAGTTTAGTACTTCAGTAAGATGTGCTAAAATTTGGAACAAGGTGGAAGCTGAAATGTTGGGATTATGGAAGAATAAGCAATCTATATTCACTGCTTTGGCATATAAGCAGGATGCAAAGGAAGAGATTGGTAATATGATTTTTGTAAAGAAATTTTACAAGTGTTGGAAGGATGAGGCAGGTTTGATGTCTGGAGATGATATAGATCTCTTTAAAATACAGTCATGCCTTGGTAATATGTTGCCACAGTATTATTTGCTTGTGAAACAATTGATTTCAGACTGGGCCAATTTGGATAGCTCAGATTTTCTTACCAAGGTTATAGAAAAGGAAAATGCAGGTTGTTTTGAATTAAGAAAAGATTTAGGAAAGTAAGGTTGCTTATTATGCTCAGGGATTGCCACCTACACAGGCTGAGAGCGAGGATGGGATGGAGCACATAAAGCCCCAAAGTAAATTTGGGCCCTGCACTTCATATCTGAGAGTCAAATAGAAGCGTCAAAAACTGCGGTTACAGCGCATTTGTAAAAATTCTAATTGTTTTGGTGCTAAACTGCTAAATAGTAAATTTGGGGTGTGCTCTTCATATCTGAGAGTCAAATAGAAGCGTCAAATAGTGCGGTTACAGTGCAATTGTAAACATTCTTATTTTCTGGGTGCTAATCTGCTAAATAGTACATTTGGGCCCTGCACTTCATATCTGAGAGTCAAATAGAAGCGTCAAATACTGCAGTTACAGCGCAATTGTAAAGATTCTTATTTTCTGGGTGCTAATCTGCTAAATAGTAAATTTGGGCCCTGCACTTCATATCTGAGAGTCAAATAGAAGCGTCAAAAACTGCGGTTACAGCGCATTTGTAAAAATTCTAATTGTTTTGGTGCTAAACTGCTAAATAGTAAATTTCGGTTTGTGCTCTTCATATCTGAGAGTCAAATAGAAGCGTTAAATAGTGCGGTTACAGTGCAATTGTAAGCACCTCAAAAACCAAGAAAGGTCTCAGGCTCTTCCTGCTTCCTCTTCTGCTGCTGTCTCGGCCTTTTCCTCCACCTCTGGAGTCAGAGTGGCACCTGCATCTCCACACTGTCCCATGGAAGCGTTCAGCTGTCCATCTCCCAAACACTGGAGAGAAAGAGGAAGTACCCCCATTAGCCACCCGCGATCCCTGGCCCTGAATGCCAGCATTTCAAAATTCATGGCCTTTGAAATGTTGTCATTCCGTCTGGTGGAGACGGACAGCTTTAAAAACCTGATGGCGGTGGCTGTACCACAGTACGTGGTTCCCAGCCAGCTTTTCCAGGTGAGCCATCCCTTTCCTGCACAACCAATTGACGGACAAAATCAGGTGTGCACTGCACAACTCCATCTGTGGCAAGGCCCTCATAACCACAGATACGTGGACCAGTAAGCACGGGCAGGGACGCTATATCTCCCTAACTGCACACTGGGCAAATGTAGTGGCGGCTGGGCCTGAGGCGGATAGCAGTTTGGCGCATGTCCTTCCGCCACTGAGGATTGCAGGGCATTTCTCTTTGCCTCCTGTTGCCTCCTCCTCCTACTCCACTTTCTCCTCCTCTACCACCACCTCATCCAGGCAGCATAACACCTACACCACCAACTTCAGCACAGCCAGGGGAAACGACAGCAGGCTGTTTTAAAACTCATATGTTTGGGGGGAAAATCCCACACCGCGCAGGAGCTGTGGACGGGCATGGAACAACAGACCGATGAGTGGTTGTTGCCACGGAGCCTCAAGCCCAGCCGGGTGGTGTGCGATAATGGGCGAAATCTCGTAGCAGCTCTGGGCCTAGCCGATGTGCCGCACACCCCTTGCCTGGCACATGTGCTGAATTTGGTGGTGCAAAAATTCCTGAAAAACTACCCAGATATATCAGAGCAAAAAGTGCGGGCCGTCTGTGCGCGCTTTCGACGTTCTCACCCTGCTGCTGCTCGCCTGTCTGTGCTGCAGCATAACTTCGGCCTTCCCGCTCACTGCCTCATATGCGACGTGCCCACAAGGTGGAACTCCACCTTGCACATGCTGGAGAGACTGTGCGAGCAGCAGCAGGCGATAGTGGAGTTTCAGATGCAGCATGCACGGGTCAGTCGCTCTGCGGAACAGCACCATTTCACCACCAATAAGTGGGCCTCCATGCGAGACCTGTGTGCCATTTTGCACTGTTTTGAGTACTCCACCAACATGGAATGATGCCATTCTCAGCCTTACTATCCCGCTTCTATGTCTCCTTGATGATGGAAGAGGATGTGGCACAGGAGGAAGAGGGGCCATTTCCACGGTTATCAGGCCAGTCATTCACAAGTGGCTTGGAGGGTGGGTTCCTGCACCAGCATAAGCCAGGTACACAATTGTCCAGAAAGGGCACAGTTCTGGAGGAGGAGGATGATGAGGATGAGGAGGAGGAGGAGGAGGAGGAGGAGGAGGAGGAACTGTGACACAGATGATACACCTCCCACAGAGGACAGCTTGTCCTTGCCTTTGGGCAGCCTTGCACACATGAGCGACTACAGGCGACTACATGCTGCAGTGCATGTGCAACGTCTGCCGAGTTGCCCACATTCTAACTTGTGCTGATTACTGGGTGGCCACCCTGCTGGATCCCCGTTACAAGGACAACGTGCTGTCCTTAATTCCCTCACTGGAGCGTGATCGGAAGATGCGCGACTACAAGCGCACGCTGGTAGACGCGCTGCTGAGGGCATTCCCTACTGATAGCTGGGGCACCGCCTGCAACTCAGAAGGCAGGGTTAGCATGGCCAAAATGTGGAAAAGCTTTGTCAGCATGCCACAACAACCAGCACCACCATCTGATATGGAACGTCTTAGCAGGAGGCAGCATTTCAGTAACATGGTGGAACAGTACGTGTGCACACGCCTACATGTACTGACTGATGGGTCTGCCCCATTTAAGTTCTGGGTCACCAAATTGGGCACATGGCCTGAGCTTGCCCTTTATGCCTTGGAGGTACTGGCCTGCCCTGCAGCCAGTGTATTGTCTGAACTTGCGTTTAGCATGGCAGGGGGCGTTATCAGAGACAAGCGCAGCCGCCTGTCCACAGCCAATGTGGACAAGCTCACGTTTATTAAAATGAACCAGGCATGGATCCCACCAGACTTGTCTGTACCTTGTGCAGAATAGACATTTATACCAGCCTCACCCAGCCATTGTTATACTTAAGTGCACTTATTCTTTGTTTTCTTTTTTTATATGTCCCAATATTTTGGGGGCTACCCCAATAAAAGAAAAACAAACAAACAAATAAAAAACAGTGCTGGCAACCTCCTCCTCCTCCACCGCAGCTTCCACCTACACCGCCACGATGTATACCCAGATATATCAGAGCTGCTGCAGAAAGTGCGGGGTGTCTGTGCGCGCTTTTGGCGTTCTCACCCTGCTGCTGCTCACCTGTCTGCACTGCAGCGTAACGTCACCTTGCACATGCTGGAGAGACTGTGCGAGCAGCAGCAGGCGATAGTAGAGTTTCAGCTGCAGCACGCATAAGTCAGTCGCTCTGCGGAACAGAGTTTTCTTTTTTTATATGTCCCAATATTTTGGGGGCTACCTGGACTTTTTTTCAAAGTTCGGCCGAACCTGCCGGACCCGAACATCTAGGTGTCCGCTCAACTCTATCCTTGAACCTAAAAAGTTTGGGAACCAGTGCTGTAATATAAACACTGTTTTTTTCCTAAAAAGACAGTGTTTACAATAAAAAGCCTTTTTTAAATATATTTTTATTGAGATGTTAGCATAGTACAAACAGAAAACAGTACAAGCGTATATCAGCATATTAATGAAAATTATATACAAGATACAACACGTGCGAGTCTGGTGGACAGATACATCTAATTTTTGTGAAGTTCAAGGATAGTCAATTGAATGCATAGCTAGTGTTAGCTTGAATTATTACAAGGTGAGTAAACAACAAAGTGAAGTAAGAAAAATTACATCACAACCAGTTGATAGCTCCATACATACATGGCTGTGAGCGCCATACAACTTCCTTGCTTACCATGTATGACTGCTCCCTTGGATCTTCCAGGATTAAAAGCGATGTAAGGGTACTAAGTAACCAGGTGCCCACCACCTTCCGGAAGTTGGTGAATCCCATTTGGATACTCCCACCAAATGCTCTAGGTGTCATCCTACTTTGAAAACACTTCCAAAAACACCTCACAAATGCAGTCAAATGATTGTAAAGACTCAGCCAAGGGACTCCTTTTCTGTACAACTGGAGTTGGAAGCTATCTTGAAACAGTAGAGCATATGTTCCAGGGATGGAGAAATTCAGGTAAGATCAAAGCATAGATCGCCACCTTGCTGCTTGTCCCGGGGTGGGGAGGCTCTGTAAATTAGAATATCTATTCCAAAGCAGGGGATTGCTCTCCTTCCCCACTCGGGAAAGGAAAGTAGCTTCAATTGTTGAAACTTAGTGAGGCCTCCAAAGACTCTGGTAAAGCTGTTATGTTACTCTCTATTGGGTAAATGCACATTCAGTACCAAAAAAACTGTACAAAATCTGGGTTTCTGCACTCAGTTTAAAAGGTTAGCTGAGGAGCTTCTCTGACATGTAACCTTCTCAGTCAGCAGTCAAACCCCACCCCCAGTAAATGACCCTGTTTAAATTTATGGTTCCAGTCTGATACTTCCAGGCCAGGTAAAAGACATGAGGAGTCAAGCTCAAACAGCTTATCTGAACTTCATAATCAATCAACATAATAAATAGACTGGAGAAATGGGTCAACATGGTTAGCTCTGGCCTAGCCTTGTATTACATTCTAACAGAACTAACCGAAGTCCCTAACATATCAGAGGTTAATGAAACCGACATAAACTCCTGTCAACTCCTCTAGACAAGTGATTACTTCCACACACCTTGTTACACCATCAGTTAGGGAAGACATCTTAGATGGGAAAGGCATTAACTTGAGGTCCCTACTCATTGCAAGATGTCACTAATACTCTTAGTGCAAGGATGGCTAAAAGATAGATCCTTAATGTAAGAATATTAAATAGTTAACTTGTTTATATGTATTTTATGCTTTTATAAGGTTTATAACATGATTATTGCTGACTGAAGGGATATTGAATACTTAAAGTCAATGTACGACATAATATGCTGACTGTGACAGACTAAGGTATTTCTTCTATAGGATGTAAGACAATGCTAAATTTCAGGATGTCTTGCCCATTCCGATTTTAAGGATATTCTTTTCCAGACGTATGCAAAAGCTTATCTTTCCATTGTCAGAATAACGTAATATAAGGAAGTAATAAATCTTATAGTCTGTACTGTATTTGCATATACCATGGCTAATGTAAGCAAACTATGTATAAAAGCCAGCTCTGGAATACACTCATTTGAGAGTCTTGTAAAGCTGTTGTCCGTGTGTTAGTGCTTACAATGATTCTCCATCAACATTGATTATGGTGACCGAGGGATCGAGAACCGAGGGGATTAGAGTCCATTACAACATTAACCCTTTCAGCTTGGTGTCTAGAAGTGGGATGGATGGATCAGCAAAACCATTGCGGTGAGTAGCCTTTTTGTGTCTTATTGACGCTGATTGTCTATGACCCCCGTTTGGTTCAGTAAGACTGTATCCAGTAGATAGGAAAGGTGTAAGGACTCTAGTTATATTGAGACTATAAGAGGTCTCCGGTTTATTAGACATTTGGTCTAAATATATATATAGGGGTTCTTGGTAACCCAGGTTAGTATCTAAGATAGATACAGGTTTTTGAGACCATAAGAGGTCTCCGGTTTATTATAGGGTTTTGGTAACCCAGGTTAGTATCTAAGATAGATACAGGGTATCTCAGGTAGATACAGGTTTTTGAGACCAGAAGAGGTCTCCGGTTTATTAAGTCTATAGGTGTTCTGAGCAGCACGGTTTGTAGTTCTATAAGTATAACCCAAACTTCTCTTTCTCCCGGTCACCTTTGTTTGTCTTAAGTGTTTTTTGTGGGTGATTGATTGTCTATATTGGGGACACACTTTGGTAAGTTAGTAGTGTCCCCACTCTGAATCAGCAGTATGGGAAATGTGAGTTCAGGTCCTGAGTGACCAATATATGTATGTATATATGTGTATATGTATGTATATATGTGTGTGTATATGTATATGTGTATATATAAGATAGCAGTACTTTTAAACAAATGGAGGTTTTAAAAATACATAGGGATTAAGGAGAGAACGCAGGTAACTTGTTTTTCTTTGGTTTTTACCATATATTGGGGCTGATGTGTACTGTAGTCCTTGCTGCTGCCCAGTAGTGATGGGAGTGAGCGCAGGACTTATCTTTCTGCAAGATAGCAGTACTGTATATTAGAAAAGAAATGACTCATAGGTTGTACCTGATAGACCTACTTAAATCTTTTTACTTTATTCTTTCTGTCGCATAGAAGTATAAGTTTATTACTCTGTTTTATTGTAAGTTATTTCACATGGGAACTGTGTGCCTGGAATGATTGTTGCTTTAAAAATACTATAAGCCCACTACACTTATTATGAGAGTGGGATAGTGTAAATGTGTTGCATTGTTTGCATGATGAGCTCAGTATATTTTATAACTGAGACAAAAAGTCACTTCATTAGTATTTGAAAGTTAATTCCCCATATGGGATTAATTGTATAGAAACACCAATCAGCACATCTTCCCTGCCCTCTGTGTTTGTTGCAAAGGATCCATACTGTAAATATGATTTTTGTTTGAAAATAAGAGAGCAACATTTACATTTTCAGCGGTCCAACACATGCTTTATTTTGCGCTGTAAACTAACCTTTTTATTGCAACAGGTTCCTTTTAAATGATCCAGTGTAATAACTACTGCTTGTGTCTTCTATGTCTCACATTATGTGTTCTTTTAAATTGTGGTATATAGCCTGAATCAGACATCATGGACAAAAGGTTTTTACCTGTATTACAAAGGGCTCTTGGAGACTGACCGGTCTAAAGGTTTGCCATGCCTTTAAAACATGGTATAGTATAAATTTTTTAAGTCTCTGAGAGTTCTGAAAGATTCAGGTGAAACCATGTCTGTTTAATCTGGTCCAGATGTTTGCAAAAAATTTCTGTAAGATTTAAATTGATGCAGCATCATCTCAGATTAGTTAATGGAAGTTTTATACAAATAGTTGAGTTATGAGCGCGCTATATAAATGGATCCTTTCTTTATATACAATACTATAGTAGATTAAAGTAATGAAGTTAATTAAGAAAATATACACATAAGAATCCCTAAAATAAATCTAAACTAAAATTGGTATACTTTCCAATAATATGTTCTGAGTGCAGCTGTTAACTGTTTATTCTGTGTAAATGGTGATTGTGATAATGTGTGAAGTGTGCAGTTTAACTTGAAAGTGGTTTAATTTATATGTTGCTGTATTGTTTTAAATTATATGTGAATCAGTTTGTCACAGTCTAGTGATACTGATAAGAATGACAGCCAAATAACCTAGCAAATAACTGTTTTATTAGTTGTTGAATACTAGCGTTTTGGCCAAGAATAGTTGGAGATTTGGAGGTGTTAGTTTAAGATTGCTTTTATATTGTGTCTATCCGTGTTTCCTAGGAGGGAGACAGAGTGTGTAGTTGTGTGCCCATAAATGTGATTTCTGTATTGGCATATCTGCTGGGTACCCATTATGTGTTTTTACAAAAATATTGTTTTGTGAGATGACGTGTAATATTACATTGGATGCGGAGTATGAGTTATATGGTTTGAAATGAATTGGTGATTATGAGTTTAGTACTTCAGTAAGATGTGCTAAAATTTGGAACAAGGTGGAAGCTGAAATGTTGGGATTATGGAAGAATAAGCAGTCTATATTCACTGCTTTGGCATATAAGCAGGATGCAAAGGAAGAGATTGGTAATATGATTTTTGTAAAGAAATTTTACAAGTGTTGGAAGGATGAGGCAGGTTTGATGTCTGGAGATGATATAGATCTCTTTAAAATACAGTCATGCCTTGGTAATATGTTGCCACAGTATTATTTGCTTGTGAAACAATTGATTTCAGACTGGGCCAATTTGGATAGCTCAGATTTTCTTACCAAGGTTATAGAAAAGGAAAATGCAGGTTGTTTTGAATTAAGAAAAGATTTAGGAAAGTAAGGTTGCTTATTATGCTCAGGGATTGCCACCTACACAGGCTGAGAGCGAGGATGGGATGGAGCACATAAAGCCCGTGGAAGGGGTGGTCAAAGAGGGGCAAGGGGATGGAGACAGGGAAATCAGGGTTATAGGGGCAGGGGTAACCAAGGAGGAATAGACAGGAACACTTGTTTCAACTGTGGCCAATATGGCCACTGGAGGAATGAGTGTCCACACCCCAGGAAACCCCAGGAAACCCCAGGAAACCCCACACACCCCAACAACCCCACCTTTCTCAAAATATGCCCTGTAGGCAAGAACAACACCAGACCCACTCCCAACACCACTGGCCAGCATATCGCTTAGTTCAGGACTTTAGAGCCCTGAATAGTTTAATTGTGCCCATTTCACCCATTGTCCCTGATGTGACATCCCTCATTACAGCCATTCCACATGATGCCACTTGCTTCACTGTCATTGATTTAAGTAATGCATTTTTTCTATACCTATTGATCAAGAGACACAGCTACTTATGGTTTTTACTTTTTGAAGGCTGTCAGTTTACCTGGACATGCTTACCCAAGGCTATGTGGATTCCCCAGCTGTTTATTCGTTGGTACTCTAACATACTCTAAAAAACATGGACCACCGGTCATGGTTCCGTCCTTTTTGCAAAATGTTGATGATTTGTTGTTATGTAGCCCTAGCTATGAGGCAAGCACTGTGGATACTGTCAGCAACTGTGGGTCACAAGGTTGTTAAACACAAAATGCAATTGTGTAAATCAAAGGTTGAATACTTAGGTTTTGTTCTGGCTTTAGGCACCAGACAATTGAGTCCAAAACGTATTGAGGTCATTCAGAGGATTCCTACACCCACTACTCGGAAGGAGTTGCTCACCTTCCTCGGCATGATTAATTACTGCCACCATGGATCCCTGAATGCTCCCATTATGACTCAATCCTAAGGGAGGCTGTACGTTCTGACAGCCCTGAAAATGTCTGCTGGTCACCAGACATGCTAGCTGCATATATTGCCCTTACAGTTGTTATTGTGCAAGCCCAGGCTTTAGGACTACCTGTGTATTGTAAACCATTTCATTTGTATGCTTGGGACAATTGTAAAACCATGGCCGCAGTCTGTGCACAAGAGCAAGGAGGCGGTATGCGTCCCATAGCATTCTTTTCCAAAGTAGTTTGAGCTCCGGTACAGGGTATGCCGGCGTGTCTCAGAGCATTGATAGCATGTGCAATGGCTGTTGAAACTGCTACTACTATCACACTAGGGCATCCTACAATACTTCATGCCAGTCACCAGGTCACTCAGCTGATAATAAATATCACCATATAACACATGACAGCCCAGCGCTTCAGTGGTTATGAGATTCTTTTTTTAAATACCCACAATCTGTCTTTTGGATTAAACAAGGTTTAGAGAAAGATCAAAATGATCTGTTCTCTAAAGAGGGGAGAATAGGCATACTTGAAGAATAGGCATACTTGAAGCAAGCTGATTTATTTTCATCAGTCAGGCACATAGCAAGCACCATTTAATTCCTCATGAATTCATTTTATATTAGGAATCTCAGGCAGCATGTACAGTCTTTTGTAAGATCGTGTGAACACTGCTCTTTTTACACACTTACAGATTGATTTTATTCATGTATCCAAAATTGGTAAGAAACAGCAATACTTACTGGTCATAGTTGATCAGTTTAGTAGATGGCATGAGGCCTTTGTGACATCTAGGGAAGATGCTAGTGAAGATTATTGTTACTGAAATTATTCCCAGGTATGGCTGCCCTCTGCAGATTGGCTCTGATAATGGCCCGGTATTTGCAAGTAGGGTTGCCCAGGAACTTGCTAAATTCTTGCAAGTTACCTGGCAGTTTCATATACCCTATCATCCACAGAATACAGGGTAGTTGAAAGGATGAATAGGACTATTAAGGAAAAAAGCCCAGAATTTACCCAGGAACATGGGTAAATTGGACTAGATATCTACCAACTATTTTAGCTGAGATAAGAATATATCCCCACAAGGTGACTAAATTATCTCCATTTGAGATTTTGATGGGATGACCTTTTCCCACACCCTGGGCCAGGGAACCGCTTGTTATAATGTCTGGGGATTTACAGCTAATACAAGAACAATATGTACAGGAATTGTTGATAAAACCGAATGGTATGTATGACAATGTTTCTTCGCAGTTTTCCCTTACCTTCACAGGAACCTACTCATTCATACCAGCCCGGTGACAAGGTGTATATCCGTCAGTTGAACAGGACCAAGAAAGGAGGATACCCTTTTGGACCACCTGCTACTGTGATTGCTGTAACCAGAACCGCTGTCCTCACAGATTCCCATGACATCTGGATTCACGCATCCCGAGTGAAGCTGTGTCCAAAGAGGGGAACCAAGGAAGACAACACCACTCCTCGCTCGGAAACAGAAGAATTTCTCCTCAGCGAAGCATCATGGTTTTTACACCATATCGTAGATTGAGAGGATCATACGTACCTGAGACCAAGATTATGTTGTGTGCTATGCTTTCTGGAGTTGTTATACTCCCTCTGATATTGTTCCTTGAATGCCATTATGAGTACAAGTCAATGGCAAGTTCTGAAAAAAGACTCTGACATGATGAACAATTCTTCAATACCCCCAGCCCAATTAGGCCTTAGCCCCTCATCTAGCATTCGTCACACACGCCCCCTCAAGAACCTTTCTCCACCACCTTTCTATCAGCATGTAATATGCAATCATTCATTCACTGAACGCATTTGGATGAATTGGACAAATAGTAACCCTTATAAGTACCAGTTACCCATATGAAATGTGTCTACAGCTAATGAAACCGATGCATTATGTTTGTTTAAAGGTTCACAGAAAATTGTTAGATCTTATAACGCAGAAATGTGCACAGTTAAGGTTGCATATCAATGTAAACAGACAGGCCTTGTTACTTTTAATAATGATTATATAACTGGTATCATTAATTGGAGAAGGGGACAAATGTTAGTCATTATGAACGACACTACAATTGAGAACTATACACTACCTTATATTTTTACACCTTATTACTGTCCTTCATCCACTATCATAGAACCAAAAGTCAACCACGACACACACACACCTATTCCGTCCACATGTGTTAATACAACTGCCTTCTTACAAGCTGTACATGTGTCATTAAAAGTCACTACTCTTGTTGTAACATTATGTAATACAACAAACAAAGGCAGAAAAGGGAATGGCATGACACACTGTTAGGAGGTGCTGGAACCACTATGGGTATACTAAATAGTTATAGATATGGAGACCCTCAAGAATAAGTTAAACACAGCCAGCATGCATATAGGGACTGGTTTTCATGCTACTGCAAATTGGGCTCCAATTGTTGTTAAATCACAGGTTACAGGATTGGATTTAGATAAATCAATGTATAATTATTTAGATAATTTAACTGTTGCAACTATGAAATTCACTACAGGTCTAAGTAGCTGGAGTACTTGTGCCATCAGGTATTTATGGATACAACAACAAGGATTGGCATTAGAAAACACACTAATGATTCCTAAACTAGAGAAGATTAGAGGAAAGCGTAACCTCACAGATAATGAATGGTTACTTCTAAAACCCCAATCCAGTAAATGCAATGGATGGTTAACTGGTAATGTTTCACATTTTTCACGCTCATGCTATTTTACATTATATCATACATCAGCAAAGGATGTTAAATTAGCTTGTCAATTTAACACATTACCAGTACCAGTTTATGATCTTTTTGCCAAGAATTTAACCTGGTGGGCACCCACATACACAGGGGACTATATTTTCCCAAAGATAACACACACAGGTAGCCACGCATATCCTAAAAGGAGAACTCCTTAAGGTGAGTTCACAAATTCAGAATGATTTAGCCCATCATTGGTACGATGCTTCACTGGTTGGTCCCCTACTGGATCTCAGATAATGAAATCATTCTTCTATCATTTTGTTATTATAGTCCTGATTTTATTGTGTATGATTTTATATAACTGTCACCTTAGTTGTACATTGAGGAAGTGAGTACAGAAATTAATCCATAATGCAGAACAGAAACAATTAGAAATTCTCCTCTCTGCCACTGTAGAGTATCAACCCATTTTTAAACTGGGCCTTAGGAATTACCACATGGGAATCGAGGTGAAGAAATTAATGAAAGTCCCGCAGGGAGTGACTAGCACCCCTGAAAATACCATGTGGAAGTTTCTCT